TTAGAAAATATATATGCACCCAATACAGGAGCACCCAGATACATAAGGCAAGTTCTTAATGACTTACAAAGAGACAGACTCCCAAACAATAATAGTGGGAGACTTTAACACCCCATCATCAATATTAGACAGATCAGCGAGACAGAAAATTAACAAGGATATCCAGGACGTGAACTCAGACCTGGATCAAGCAAACCTAATAGACATTTACAGAACTCTCCACCCCAAATCCACAGAATATACATTCTTCTCAGCACCACATCATGCCTACTCTAAAACTGACCACATAATTGGAAGTAACTCACTCCTCAGCAAATGCAAAAGAATGGAAATCATAACAAACAGTCTCTGTGACCACAGTGCAATCAAGTTAGAACTCAGAATTCAGAAACTAACTCAGAACCGCACAGCTTCATGGAAACTGAACAACTTGCTCTTGAATGTTGACTGGATAAACAATGAAATGAAGGCAGAAATAAAGATGTTCTTCGAAACCAAGAACGAAGACACAACATACCAGAATCTCTGGGACACATTTAAAGCAGCCTCTAGAGGGAAATACATAGCAATAAATGCCCACATGAGAAGCAAGGAGAGATCTAAAATTGACACCCTATTGTCAAAATTGAAAGAGCTAGAGGAGCAAGATCAGAAAAGCTCAAAACCTAGCAGAAGACAAGAAATAACTAAGATCAGAGCAGAACTGAAGGAGATACAGACACAAAAAAACCCTTCAAAAAAATCAATAAATCCAGGAGCTGGTTTTTCAAAAAGATCAACAAAATAGACAGACCACTAGCCAGATTAATAAAAAAGAAAAGAGAGAATAACCAAATTGATGCAATAAAAAACAATAAAGGGGATATCACCACAGATTCCACAGAAATTCAAACCATCATCAGAGATTATTACAAAGAACTCTATGCACATAAACTAGTAAACCTGGAAGAAATGGATAAATTCCTGGACACTTGCATCCTCCCAAGCCTAAACCAGGAAGAAGTCGAAACCCTGAATAGACCAATGACAAGTTGAGGCAGCAATTAAGAGCTTACCACCCAAAAAAAGCCCAGGTCCTGACGGGTTCACAGCCGAATTCTGCCAGACATACAAAGAGGAGCTGGTACCATTCCTTCTGAAACTATTCCAAACAATCCACAAAGAGGGAATCCTTCCCAAATCATTTTATGAGACCAACATCATCCTGATACCAAAACCCGGCAGAGACTCAGCAAGAAAAGAAAACTTCAGGCCAATATCCACGATGAACATAGATGCAAAAATCTTCAATAAAATACTGACAAGCCAATTGCAACAGCACATCAAAAAGCTTCTCCACCATGATCAAGTAGGCTTCATCCCGGGGATGCAAGGCTGGTTCAACATACGCAAGTCTATAAACATAATTCACCACATAAACAGAACCAAAGACAAAAACCACATGATTATCTCAATTGATGCACAGAAGGCCTTTGACAAAATTTAACAGCCCTTTGTGCTAAAAACCCTCAATAAACTTGGTATTGATGGAATGTATTTCAAAACAATAAAAGCTATTTACGACAAACCAACAGCCAATATCATACTGAATGAGCAAATATTGGAAGCAGTCCCCTTGAAATCTGACACTAGACAAGGATGCCCTCTCTCACCACTCCTATTCAATATAGTACTGGAAGTTCTAGCCAGAGCAATCAGTCAAGAAAAAGAAATAAAGGGTATTCAAATAGGAAAGGAGGAAGTCAAATTGTCTCTATTTGCAGACGACATGATTGTATATCTAGAAGACCCCATCGTCTCAGCCCCAAATCTCCTGAAACCGATAAGCAACTTCAGCAGTCTCAGGATACAAAATCAATGTGCAAAAATCACATGCATTCCTATACACCAATAACAGACTTAAAGAGAGCCAAATCAAGAACAAACTTCCATTCACAATTGCCACAAAGAGAATAAAATACCTAGGAATACAACTAACAAGGAACGTAAAGGACCTCTTCAAGGAGAACTACAAGCCACCGCTCAACGAAATAAGAGAGGACACAAACAGATGGAGAAACATTCCATGTTCATGGTTAGGAAGAATCAATATCGTGAAAATGGCCATACTGCCCAAAGTAATTTACAGATTCAACACACACAAAAAATTAGAAAACTAATAAACAAGTTTAGCAAAGTTATAGGAATCGATATACAAGAGTCTTGTTTCTTTTTTCCTTTTTGAGACGGGGTCTCACTGTTGTCCAGGCTGGAGTTCAGTGGTGCAAACACAGCGTATTGCAGCCTTGACTTCCCGACTTCAATGAATCCTCTGACCTCATCCTCCCTCCTGAGTAGCTGGAACTACAGGTGCATGCCACCACACCCTGGCTATTTTTTGTATTTTTGGCAAAGGCAGAGTTTCTGCATGTTGTCCAGGCTGCTCTGGAATGCCAGAGCTCAAGTGATCCATCTGCCTCAGCCTCCCAAGGTGCTGAGATTACAGATGTGTGTCACTGCACCTGGCCTTGCAATCAATATATAATTTTTATACCCAAACAATGAATGTTCTGAAAATAAAATTAGAAAACAATTTCATGTACAATTGTGTCAAAAATAATGAAATACTTAGAAATAAATTTAACAAGCACAAAATTTCTATGCTGAAAACTACAAAGCACTGTTGAAAGAAATTAATGCAGACCTAAATAAATGGAAAGACATCCCATGTTTATGGTTCAAAAGATCAACCTTAAGGTAGCAATACCTGCCACAGGTAAACAAATTTAGTTGCAATTCCCATCCAAATCCCAGATGGCTTATTTGCTGTAATTGACAAGCTGATCCTAAAATTCATATGGAAATCAAAACACACTGGCCAGGTGCAGTGGCTCACACCTGTAATCCCAGCACTTTGGGAGGCCATGGTGGGCAGATCATCTGAGGTCAGGAGTTAGGGACCAGCCTGGCCAACATGGTGAAACTGTGTCTCTACTAAAAATACAAAAACTCGCCAGGCATAATGGCATGCGCCTGTAATCCCAGCTATTCAGGAGGCTGAGGCAGAAGAATTGCTTGAACCTGGGAGGCAGAGGAAGCAGTGGGCCAAAATTGCACTACTGTACTCCAGCCTGGATGACAGAGCAAGGATCTGTCTCAAAAAAGAGAGAGAGAGAGAGAAAGAGAGAGAGAGAATCAAAAGACACAGATCAACCAAAACAATCTTGGAAAAGAAAAAAAAAAATGGAGGATTCACAGTTCCTGACTTCAAAACTATTACAAAGCTACAATGATTGAAACAGTGTGGTACTGGCATAAGAACAGGTATATATTCCAGTGCAACAGAACTAACAGAACTGAGAAACCAGAAATGGATTTCTGGATCAATTGATTTTCAACAAGGGTCCCAAGACAATTCAATATGGAAAGAATTGTCTTTTCAACAAATGGTACTGGGACAGCTGGGTACCTACATGTAAAGGAATGAAATTGGGTCACTGCTGCACACCATATACAGAAATTAAAATAGATCAAAGACTTAAATGTAAGTGCTGAGACTACAACAAAATCTTAGAAATCATAGGGGTAAGCTTTAGCTTTGAAGTAGAGGATGGTACGTTAGGACACGCAAAGCACAAGCAACAACAACAGAGCAGATAAATTGGTCTTCAACAAATCACAAACATTTTTTGCTGCACAGGACACTATCAAGAACATGAAAAACAACTCACGACATGGAAAAATTATTTGCCAATCATGTATTTCATTAGGGAAGTGCAAATCATGTCTGATAAAGGAATTGTATAAAGAATACTCACACCTCAATAATGAAAAGACAACCTAAGTTTAAAATGGCCAAGGATCTGAATAGATAGCTCTCCAAAGGAAGTATACAACAAGCAGGTGAAAAGATGCTCAATATCCTTAGCCATCAGGGAAACACAAATCAAAACCACAGGGAGATGCCACTTCACATCTGCTGGACTAAAGACGGCAGTCGGCGTGCGCACAGAGAACGTGGAACCCTCGTAACCCGCCGGCGGGTGGGATTCCACTTGGGAAGCGGTCTGACAGTCCCTGGCAAGGTTAAGCAAAGCAGTCACCTATGATCCAGCCACTCCACTCTTAGGTGCAATGGAAACATATTGCCACACAAAAACTCATGCAGGAGCGTCCTTGCAGCGTTATTTGCAATCACCGAAACATGGAAAAACTCATGTCATCAACAGATGAATGGATAAGCGAAATTTGGCACGGCCACGCCGTGGAGTATTACTTAGCCACACAAAGGAATACAGTTCCGAAGCAGTCTGCAGCACACGTGCACTTTGAAAAAGCTCACCGAAAGGAGCCCCCACAGAGACCACCTGGCGTGTGACCCCATTTCCATGAACTTCCAGAACCCGCGGGGTGGTGGTTCCATGTGTGGGGTGCGGGGGAGGGAATGGGGGTGGCTACCGATGAGAACAGGCTTTTTTTTTGGGGGGGGCGACAGTGAACACAACTTCATGGACATACTAAAAACCATGACGCTGTGCACCTTAAATAAGGTGTTTCATGGTCTGTGAGCTGTACTGTATCTTAAGCTACTACTTTAAAAACAACGTAAAAAGCGAGCTGACCACCCTGGCCAACATGGTGGAACCCCACCTCTACTAAAAATACAGAAAATTAGCCGGGCGTGGTGGGCACCTGTAGTCCCAGCTACTCGGGAGGCTGAGGCAGGAGAACGGCTTGAACCAGGAGGTGGAGGGAGGAGAATGACTTGAACCCGGGAGAAGGAGGTTGCAGGAAGCCCAGACCGCGCCACTGACTCCAGCCTGGGCGACAGTGTGACCCGGTCTCAAAAAAAACTAAGCAAACCGCAGCTGTCCGCTGGGAACGTGGGTGATAGGTTTTCCGAATCTCTAACGTGTTTGTGACGGTGACACGGTCCCTGCAATGTGACACGTTCCCAGTCGCGGATGCTCATACAAACAGCAAAGCCCGAACGAGCCCTTTCCCCGCCTTTGTTCCCCCGCGCGTCTGGGCCCAGCTCCCGGCTCCTCCTCCGCTGAAGTCGCGGGCGCGCTCCCTCCCAGCAGCGGGCCCCGGGGTCTGGGCTCGCCCATCCCGCCCGCAGCCGGCCAGGGGCCCCGGGGGGCGGCGGGGCGGGACCTCGGGCGCGTGCAGACCCCGCCCCGCGCAGGCTGTGGATTCCAGCCCACCTGGCGACCCGCAGCCCGGGCGGAGGACTAGGCGCCGGAGGAGCCGCCGCAGCACTGCTCGGGATCCGGCGCGGCTAGTGGGGTTCGGGGCCGCGACCCTGCCCGGGACATGTGGGCGCCGGGCGGAACCCCGGGGCCCGCGGGCTGGGACCGCCGCAGGTTGGGCGCGAGGCTGCGCGCGGCGCTGGCAGGGCTGCTGGAGCTGCAGGGGCTGCGGGCCGCGCAGCAGGAGCGGGTGAGGGACGCCCTGGCCGCGCAGCCCCCGCCCGCGCCCGCCGCCCCCTGCGGCCCCCACGGCCACGAGCAGCAGCTGGAGGCGGCGCTGGCCGCGGTGCAGGAGCAGCTGGTGAGGACCGGGCGCCGGGGGCGGAGGGGGTCGGGGGTCGCCGGGGCCGGGGCCGCGGTCGGGGTCCGGGGTCGGGACCGGTGCCGGCAGCTACGGTGTGTTAGCAGAAGGAGGGCTGCCATGGGTGCAGGCGGCGTCCTCTGGATTTGCCTCGGTCTCCGAGGAGGGGGACACGGGGGGCCCCGTGCAGGTGCCTAGCCCTGAAGCGCACAGGCGGGGACCCTGAAACCGGCCCGGGGTGCAGCTCGCACCGCGCCCTGCGTGGATGTGCACCCACCCACGCCAGCATCCCGAAGCCCGCAGTGTTTGTGACAGCACTGTTCTGACCTGCGGGTACTGACCGCTGTCCCCGGAGGAGGTGGGCTCCGGACCCTGGCTTCACCTCCACGGGTACCAGGCCCACCTGCCGTCTTGGGTTGGGGGCAACAGTGTCCGTGTGGCAAAGCGCACCCCGACTTGTCCTCGGGAATGTGCTGACATTTGTCACAGGTCGTGTCACTGTGATCGGGTACTGGGGGAGAGCTTGTAACTAACAAAGGCCTCTTCAACTTTAAGATGTGACCTGACCTGCGGGGAGAGGTGAGTCCTCTGATCCAGAGCAGAAACTGATTTCCTGGCCCTCCCGGCACTGCCTGGGGCTCTATCCCCTCCTCTCACACAATGGCAGGAACTCCGGTCGTTGCCCTCTGCTCATCTTGTTGCAGTATGACTTTGTAAAACCTGCGGCAACAACTCAAAAGAGTGCTGGAAGTAGTTGCCATATTTTCTTAAAGAAAAACAAAAAAGGTTGGAGAAAGATTTCTGTTTACGTGAGTTACCTCTGTTACACTCAGTGGAATTTCTTTTACGTTAGAAATTTAAGCCTGTCTTGTTAAAAGTTACTGCCTTTACAAAGTGGCCCAGGTGAAGCCGTGGCATCACGGTCAGCCCAGCTCACTCAGCCAGGCTGATGATGTAGCAAACCCTTCTGGATGAAAGAATCGGGAAGCCCAGTGTCTGGGATGCCTCCCAGGATCCCTGTTATCACCTCACCTTGCAGAAGACGAGGTGGCAGACTGTGCGGGATTAAGCCGCCGTCAGCTCTGCAGCTTCTGCCTCCTGAGAGGGAAGGAGCTGGTGTGCAGACTTTGTTCACTCGCCTAGTGACCAAATCCTGGCTGTCTGTTTAGGTCATTTGTGTGTTTGCACCCAGGCACTGTCTCAGCTTCTGCATGACCTCAGCTCAGCACACGGCAGCCACGGACGTGTTACACTCATGTTACGGGGAGGGAGGTGCTGCTGAGAGGCTGGCCTCAACCGTGCCGTCAAGGGGTGAGAGTGCAGTTGATGATTAACTTGGCTTAAGAAATATATAAATCAAACTTGCAAGTGCTCAGCCTCTAATTACAAGTAGCCTTTTGGAAGAGAAGATCAAACGGTTTTGTTTAATTTTTTTTTTTTTTAATATGGGGACCAGAAGGAACACGCAGACTTTGTCTTGAAACTTTGTTCTTGGGATGGATTTTGTGATCAAAAGAGAAGAATGATTGAATGTGTGTGGCATCAGCACAGGGCTTAACACTTCTACACTTTTCTTACCTGGGAAAAACCTTAGGAGTGATAGCAGTTCTGTAGTGTTGAATACAATGAAAAGCCTTGCTTGCTAAACAGCTGCACACTCCAGCAACCCCTGGCTAACTCAGGGCCCCTCCGCCCACCCTGGTGCTCACCTGGCCACTGGTCATCATTCAGGTGTGAAGGCCGGAAGAACATTTATCAGGCCCTGAGCAGCTTTAGCCGACAGGAATTCTCAGGTGCGAATGATTGCTAGCATTTCCAGGGATTTGAACTGCTGGGAAAACAGCAGCACTGCTCACCTGAAGGCTTATCGCAAGCGCTGCACCTTTTTAATTGCTGTGTCATAGAAGAGAGTGGAGGAGGAGGTGCTTAGGAGGATTTTCTTGAATAAATAAATGAGTGGCTTTTATTGCTGCAACAAAAGGAAAAATGATTTCAGAATATGGGGCCTCCCTGTTCTTGGTTTCTAAGTGGATGAAACTCCCTGTACCCTCCGTGGCCCCCTTTGTTGCTGCGTGACCAGTCTGTAGAGGGTTGGCTCTGCGTCCTCATTTATGGTTTGCAAGGAAACTTGTCATTCCCGACAAGTGCCGACCATGCCCATATTCATGAGGGTTAAGTTCCCCAACAAGCCCTAGTTGGAAAGACTTCACCCACTCCCCGCGACCCAGAGCCCACGAGTAGACTGAAAACCCCATCCTTCACCAGTGGATGTTGTCTCCATAGTGGGGAGACACAGAAGCCTCCGGACTCTGCAGTGAAATATTATCCTGAAGAATTTCCCTGTCTTGGCGTTGCTGGTCGTGACTTGTTCTGAAAGTGGTAGCTTGCAACAATTCCTTTTCCCTGGCAGCTTCCAGCATCCCGTGCTTCAGGAGCAAGCTGTGCGTCTGCTTCAGCAGCATCAACTTGATGCTGGCGTTTCCCTTGGGGCAGCCATGCTTGCTTTGTGAACACACAGGGGAACCAAGGGAGGCAGGGCTGAGAACTTGCAGGGGGCCACTCCTTAGGGCCAGGCAGCCCCAGAAACCTGCAAGGCCTCGGTGGCACTGCTAGCCGTGAGTCTACCTGGGACCCCTTTGCTGTTGATTGATGGGCCTCTTTTAAACTTAGGTAGTAGCATTTACTGCTCTACAGATGGAGGTGTTAGCCTTGGGATTCAGGCATGGAATGTTTCCTCTGTGCATTCTAGCTCTCAGGGACAGAATGGAATTGTGGATACCATCTCCATATCCTGAACTCTGAGGCTTCCGTGTTTAGCCTCTGCATGTGCCGTAAAGGTACTCCAGTGGCTGGACTGTTGACTTGCCCACGGAACAGGCACGGCACATGGGAATCAGCTCATTCTCCAGCGGTGCATGAAGAATGCATTTCAAAGGGATTCACCTGTTTTTTTAATGGCACCCCCTGAAATAGAAGTCCTCAAACTTTTTGTTGTCATAAGGAACTTTTGTGGTCCCTGGGAACCTTGTTAAAATGCAGGTTCCCAGGCTTACCCGGTGGAGCCTCAGGAAATGAGTGGGGCCCAGGGTCTGCAGGTGTGCCCAGCTGTCCCACTGCCTTGGGAGGCTTGCCGTGAGCGCCTTTATAACTGGCCCTCCTGCCCCTTCCACAGGCCCAGGGGTTTTGGCTCAAGTGCCCCCAGAGCTCACCTTGAGCAAGGCCGCCTAGAGTTAGCCCGAAGACTGGCAGAGGGCTCCCTGGAGTTAGCCTGAATGCCCGCAGAGGGAAGTGGGGTGCCGAGGCCACCCAGGGCTCGCTTGCAGCTGTGGAGCGGGTTGGGCCGACTGTGGACACGTGTGGAGAACACGCTTTGGGGCTGGCCTTGCAGTGGACTGTCCTCCTTCCCGGCCACGTATCTTTTGTGACTATGAGCACAATGTCTGGCCCTAAGAAAGAGTGAATGAAAAGCACAGTCATACAAACCCCAGGTCAGGGCCAGCGGTCGGGGTTGGAGACAGTGGCCAGGGTTAGGGCCAGCGATTGGGGTTAGGGACAGTGGTCGGGTTTAGGGACAGCAATAGAGGTTAGGGACAGTGGCCAGGGTTAAGGCCAGCGATTGGGGTTAGGGACAGCAGTCGGGGTTAGGACAGCATTCGGGTTTAGGGACAGCACTCGGGGTTAGGGACAGTGGCCAGGGTTAGGGCCAGCGATTGGGGTTAGGGACAGTGGTCGGATTTAGGGACAGCAGTCAGAGTTAGGGACAGTAGCCAGGGTTAAGGCCAGCGATTGGGGTTAGGGACGGTGGTCGGGTTAAGGGACAGCAATTGGGGTTAGGGACAGTGGCCAGGGTTAGGGCCAGCGATTGGGGTTAGGGACAGTGGTCGGGTTTAGGGACAGTGATTGGGGTTAGGGACAGTGGTCGGGTTTAAGGACAGCAATTGGGGTTAGGGACAGTGGTCAGGGTTACAAACGCGGCATAAATACTGAATGGGGTGGAGCCCTGCAGACGCAGACGGGACCTGAGGATGTAATAAATAACCTGTGAATGCCTGAGAGCTCTGTGCATCCTGCAGCCCCCTGGACCATTAATCAGAAATCAGCAACTGAAGGCCAGGCTGGCCAAACATTAATCACAAAGCAATTAACCCGCACAGACACTGGGGAGGGGAGGGGCTGGAGGAGGAGGACAGAGCTGACCGTGTGCAAGGCCCCCTCTTTCAGGAGAAGGGGAGTGTGATTTAGAAGAGGAGAGGGAAGATGGATCCTTTTAAGCATTGATGTGTGGCCTCACAAAGAAACTGAATTTTCTGTGGGTACCTTGGGTTTCGTTTTACGACAGGCCAGGGAAAATCCTGAGCTGTAAGAACCCCCCGTCCCTCAGTTTGGATCCAAGCTTCCTCTTTGCATGGCTGGAGTGCGAGAGCCCTCGTGTGTGCTGTGCAGGCTTGGTGCCGTTCACCTGGAGAGTGGTTTACCTGTGTCAGAACGTGCAGGGAGAGAAGCCCGTGTGTTTACATGAGGCTGGGTGGGCCTGGAAGCATACAATTTTGATGAAATTCAGGGTTTTTTTTTTTTGCCGTGTTCACATTCACAGATAATATTATGGCTTCCAATTCTGTCACTGTGCAAGCTTTGGAGGTTTTGGGAGGCCCCAGAGTTGGGTCCTGGTGGAGGGAGCTGCTGCGGGCACAGAAGCGGTGTGCTGGGTCCAGCCAGGCCTCCACCGTCCGCTCACCCGTGCTGATCGCAGGCGCTTGTGTTTGGAAAAGCCGAGAAGTCATTCTCTCATCAGACCAGGAAACCATTGCTCCCTGCCTCTCTTGTAATGACTTCTTACATGGTGGAAATGACCACAGTCATTCCCTAAGGCCCAGCTTGTGGGGTTCAGAGGAATTCTTCATTTCCTGCGTAAAATTTGAAATATAATTAATCATTTTCCTAAGAGGACCAACCACATCATTACATTCATTAATTATTTGCCTAAACCGTAATTGTTAGTCAAACCAAGAAATGTTTTAGAATTAAAAGAAAGACACACACACATACACACACACGTGTCCATGCTCATAATCAGCCCTTAAGAGTTGGGGAAGCTGAGGCCCATAGAAGGCACAGCCTCTCAGGGCAGGGCTGTGATGGAAACTTGTAAATACCCAGCCCCTTGGCCAGGCTCATGCCTGTAATCCCAGCACCTTGGAGGCCAAAGACGGTGGATCCCTTAAAAACAAGACTTGGAGACCAGCCTGGGCAACATGACAAGACCCCATCTCCACAGAAAATACAAAAATTAGTGGGACATGGTGGCTCATGCCTGTAGTCCAGAGACTCGGGAGGCTGAGGTGGGAGGATCACCTGGGCCTGAGGAGGTCGAGGCTGCAGTGAGCCGTGATTGCACCACTGCGCTCCAGCCTGGGCAACAGAGCAAGACCCCGTGTCAAAAACAAAACAAAACCAAAGATCCTGAAGGCAGATTTTCGAGCTGTCATTATTTATTCCAGGTAAAGCTGACATTTTCCATGTTTGGCTGAGAACCTTCTCTCCTGATAGCTCTACCAAAGCCTGTCACAGTTCAAAATGTGACTTCTTCTATCAGGGAGGGAGAAGGGGCTGAACAGTGAAGGGGAGTGTTTCTGCCTTTCCACTGGACTTTCTCACCTTCTGGAAACGTTGAAAGGTTTGTGCCTCCCAGGACCAGGGACCCAGAGGCGGCCGAGTGAAGGACGCCGCCCGCCCAGGCAGGCATGTGGAGAGCCTGAGCACAGCAGAGCACTCTCCTAGGCAGGCTGAAGGCACAGCGAAGTGGAGGGTGGAGGTGGCTCCTGCCTGCCAGGAGGAGGTGCTGCTTTCAATCCCGATTTCACTCTCATATGCTGTAGTGTTCTGTATTCTTACAAGGAAATGTGTAATTTGAAAAGCTCTGACAAACAAAGCAGTCTGAGCTGGAGAGAAACCCACGTGTGTGTGTGGCGGTCGGGGAATGGGTGTCAGGGAACAGTGGGGCAAGGAAATGGCTTCAGAATGAACAGGGCCGGCGCCAAGTTGAGAAGAGGTGTTCCGCGTGGACCTCGGGAGTTTGAATTGCGCTCACAATGCGTCTTCAGTTTTGGTTTCTGTAGGTACAGTCATTCCCTTCCTCTTCTTTCCGTCCTCAGTCCCGGCTGAGACAGCAGGACATTGGCCTGAAGACCCACCTGGACCAGCTGGACCTGCAGATCAGCAAGCTGCAGCTGGATCTGGGCACAACCTCAGGAGAGGCCCTGGACAGCGACAGCAGGCCCAGCTCAGGTACCCGGGCGCCCTGACCTTCCGGACACAGGGCAGCCCCAGGAGGGCAGAGGCGAAGCCTGCACCACCAGCCCTTCTCAGGCTGAACTCTCCAGTGTCCAGCAGGGAGGGTGCTGCTTCGTCAGGCCCATCTGAAAGTTAGGAGGCAACTGAAGCCTGAGAAAGCATATCCGACTGAAGAACCCTAAAATGAAATACTGTTATGTCAAGGGGTTTTAGGAAAAAGGGCATAAATATGAATTGGCTACCTCACTCTTATTTTTGTAATTTGCAAAGATCACATGGTGGTCTAAGTGACGTTGCGGGACTCAGGAGGCCTGGGGCGGAAGCACCTCCCCAGACTGGTCTCCTCCTCACCTTAACTTGGCAGCACCAGCGGGGAGAGCCATGCAGGTGCCAGAGGCCTGTCCTCAAAGGGCTGAACTCCTAAGAGGCTACCCCTTAAGCAGGCATCAGCCACCCAGTGCTAAAGGGACCACTTGCCAGGAAAAGGGAGGGCCAGTGCTGGAGGGCGCGGGCAGCAAGGGCTCTGACCAGTGACCAGCCCACTAACAGCTCCTGGAAAGAATCCTGCACGTTCTCACCGGAGCCACACTCTCCCAGGCCAGCTGTATGGACGATGGCCCACAGCCTCCGGTAGCCTCAGCTCAGGGGTTCCCCCGGGCCCTCCTTTGCCATGACAAGCTCCAGAGGAGAGGGGGCCCTGGGCTCTTCTGGAGGGGGTCACTGACCTGCCGTGTCTGCTCTGTCCAGGCTTTTACGAGCTGAGTGACGGTGGCTCCTGCTCGCTGTCGACGTCCTGTGCCTCTGTCTGCAGTGATCGCATCTCCCCCTCGCTGGGCAGTTTGCTGCCTGTGGCCCAGGCCCCCAAGGCCAGGCCCAGCATGGGGGACTGGAGGCCCCGGTCGGTTGATGAGACTGCTGTGCCGGCGTGGAGACCCCAGGCTACCGAGGAGGGCGGCAAGCTGCCAGGCAGCCTGGGGGAGGCAGGCCAGCCGTCGGGCACGTTCTGGCCCAGGCCGGTGTCTACAGGTAAGAAACCGCCAGGGAAGGTAGGGGTCTCATCTCAGGCCCGGGGGTCCGGAGTGCAGCCCCCAGCTGCTGAGGGCAGAGCTGGGACCCCACACGAGCGTGCTCTGCGGCTCTAATGGCCGCTGGAAGCCTCCGTGGGCCATGCGGTTGTTTGGAGGCAGGAATCCAGCGCGCCGGATGCGTCACCACCAGCTCTTCTAGCCCAGGGCACTTTGCCCCGTATTCAAAACAGGCATCAGCAAGTTTAAAAACATCCTGTAAAAACCCTGGATCCACTGGTGTGTGGAGTGAGAGTCGGGTTGAAAGCGCTGGTGGGGAGAGAACTGGGCTCACACCTGGATCCCACCTGCTGGCCCGGGAGGGGCTGCAGTTGTCTTCAGACTGTCTCCAAAGGCATAGATGTCACTTTGGGCCTCATTTTGTTTCTAATACAAGGCCTGGTTTAATAGTAACCAGTTGGTCTTCAGTTACTGTGAAGCCCCATGGTTCCCTCCAGGGCATCTGCAGGGACTGGCTTCATGCCCTGGCCTCCCTTCCTGGCCTCCATCCTGGCCTCCATCCTTGGCCTCCATCGGGGCTCCATCCCATGGCTGGGGGGCCTCTTCTCTCTGGGCAGCCTCCAAAGCTTCAGGGAAACGAGGGTGCTGAACTGGAGATTCTCACTCCCCATGCACTCTTCCTCAAGGGGAAGGGTCAGAACAGGCTGAGGGAGTTGTGCTGCAGACGCAAATGGGGCCCTGCAATCTCTATCTGGAGGGGGACCCCAGTGGCTGAGGAATCACTGTCTCCCAGAGGGCCCAGGAGCTCCTTGAAGCAGCAGTGAGCAGCGTTTTCTTCCTGTCGCCACGCATGAAATGAAATCAACGGCACACGAAATCTCCTCCACATTCAGGTGTTCATTTTTCTCGCTACCAGGTGACCTCGACAGAGCCCTGCCGGCAGACACAGGGCTCCAGAAAGCCGGCCCCGACCCTGAGCTCCTCGGGCTCCTCTGCCAGGGGGCAGACATCCCGCTACACGTGCTGGACCCCAAGTATCGGCAGGACCTGGTGTCGAAGGGAGGCAGGGAGGTGTACCCGTACCCCAGCCCCCTGCACGCAGTGGCTCTGCAGAGCCCCCTGTTTGCCCTGACAAAGGAAACCCTGCAGGGCAGTGGCCCCTCGTCCCCCAGGAAGGCCCCCCTGGGCCCTGCAGCTGTGAGCACTGTCCAGAGTGGGCTGGTCCTCGAGGCTGGCCCGGCCAGAGCCAGAGCCTATATCGACAGGCTGCTGTGTCTGTGGGGCCGGGATACCCCAGCAAAGGGTAGCTGGGGAGAGCAGGGACCTCGGAGGCGTGCAGTGTCCCCATCCCCACAGAAGCAGGGTGGCTGGAATACAGATGGTGGAGGCCAACTTAAGAAGCTGGTCTTTGCCCCAGGGAGGGAAGATGAGGGAGGGCCAGCTCAGAGGAGGGATGCCAGCAGGAGTGGCCCCCAGCAGCAGGGACCCGTGCCCCTTGAGAGTCCTCAGCACCCTGGCAGCCTTCCAGAGGAGGGGCCCCAGCCCTCGAACCATTGCGTCCTCAGAGAGACCATGGCGGGGCCATCTCCCAGCTCGCAGGCCCAGCGCACACCCCCACCTCAGGACTGTGGACGAGACGACATGCTGCCACCCAGGAGGCTGGACGAGAGCCCCCTGCCGTCCTCTGGGCACTCTGCCCACCTGCCCTTTGCTGCCAGCAAGCCTTCACCACCATGGCTGAAAACGGGTCCCCCCAAGAGCAAGCCTGAAAAGATGAAGAGAAGGCCCACGGACAAAGTGCTGAGGTTCGCAGGGCAGCCATCACTTCGGCTGGAGAGGCTTGAGGGTGCCCAGGCCGCCACCAAGCTATCCCTGGAGTGGGACCCTGCCCACTGGCCCCCAGGGAGGGGCGCGCTCCAGAGGAGGCCGGCCCTGGCCTGGGAGGTGCCTGGGCGCTCCTGTTCTGAGTCTACTCTCTACCCCATGCCCATCCTCGTCCCCCTGGCGGTGGCCCCGCAGGAGAGCCAGCGGACCTCAGCCCATGCCCTGTTCCCCTTGGAGGCGACACTGCTCACCTCGGCGGCCAGGAGGAAGCATGGCCGCTGGCAGTCCACTGTGGACATCTCGGTGCGGGCCCGCCTGGCTGGTTACCCAGAGTCTAACCTGGGGCCCCACAGACCCACGGCCAGGAGGGTGGGTGGCCCACAGGCCCGGGGCCGGCCCGCACTGGTCCGCCAGGATGCCCACACCAGGAGCGACTCAGAGCCCTCCAATCACTCGGCCGAGTGTGACCCGCGGTTCCCCTCGGTTATCCCGGAGACCAGTGAGGGGGAGGCCAGTGAGCACACCACCAGCCGATTCGCAGACCACGAGTCCGGCAGCAGCGACGGGGAGGGCGGCGGCCGGAGCAGGGACTGCGGCATGGCACTGGGCCACGCAGCGGCCGGGCACAGGGAGCTGGCCTGGCCCCAGGCGGCCCCGGTCAGCTCAAGGCCACTCCTGTCCCCCGTGCCCAAGCTGTGCCGTATCAAGGCCTCCAAGGCCCTGAAGAAGAAGATCCGCAGGTTCCAGCCGACGGCCCTGAAGGTCATGACCATGGTGTGAGCCGCAGCAGCTGTCGGAGACGCTGGTGCACACAGAGGCTCTTTCCATGCGGTGACCTGTGGTTGGCTGTTCCAGTGGTGCCTATCTCCCGAGGCCACCACGGAACAGGAGGCCTCTCAGATGGGCTCTGCCTGTGTAGTGCAGCCGTGCGCCCTGCCCCGGCGAAGACCCGGCTGACCCAGCGTCTCGACTCAGCATCTCCCCAGAAGCTATTTGTTCCTGACAGTGCCTGTTCCTGCCTCGTCATCCTCCCGAGGCTTTGCCTGCCCTCCCTCCACGCCGCTGGGGACGCGGTTTCCAGTCTTTCAGCCATTCCTCCCCAAAAGCATCTTAAAGAGACAGTTGTGGGACTCTGTGCTGGAAATTGAATTTTTTTTTTCTGGTTTCACAGTTTTATTCACAACTTTCATTAGTAAACCAAATTACTGTACAGTTACCAGGACTAAGTCAAAGGGCTTTATATTGCAATATTAGATAAATGCAGTATTCCAAGAGTTTACAATTTTTAAATACATTGCTCAACATGGCTGCTAGAATAAACTTTTTTACCACTATACATCTTTACCATTAAAAAATTATATTAACTAATCTGACTTTTGGGGGGCAATTTTGAATTAGGTAATCATGAGGTACAATAAAAAATAGTGACGCCAACATACAGTTTTGATTCCAGTTAAAAATTCAGACTAAAGATATCACAATCTGCTAGCTTTGAATCCTTTCAATTGCTGTACAAAGAATGATTCAAGAACTTCTGCACCCTGGTAAAATGGGGACTCACTTGGAAATTGAATTTGAGCTTAAACTCCACGTTAGCTGTCAACATGCATAAACACCCAGATCACGCGGTAATCCCCTCAAATAAAAGGAACTTTGTTTTCCTGTTTTAGCGTCCTCCTCCTCCCTGTTTCCTTGCGTGGCACACGGTGGGGACCCGGAGCCCTCAGGCCTGCCCATCTCAGGGGCACGCTCCAGCTTCGGGCAGGGAAGGCACCTTATAAATGAGTCGAGACTAAGCTCTGGTTTCAGTATAAAAAGTGAGGCATAAAAGTGTTACGGGAAAAAAAAAACAACACACCTTTTTTTTGGTGTTTACTTTTCCAAAGAGAGTTTTCCTCAACTTTTCAAGAAGAAAGATAGCAGTGTTTTCAGGTAAGCTGCCTGGTGACAGCTGTAACATTTTCAGTTCAGAAAGCAGCCTTCTCCTGAGTGATTAAAAGAATTTTACGTGAAGGTGGACAAGGCCATTGAAGTCCCCGTGGACGTCCTGGTCTCTCAGGGCTGGTGCAGCTGGTCAGGATCTTTGGAAGGAAGCCAATAAGAAAACCAGTGGAAGACAGGAGTGGACTTTGTTTTTTTTTGATGGAGTCTCGCTCTGTTGCCAGGCTGGAGTGCAGTGGCGCAATCTTAGCTCACTGCCATCTCCACCTCACAGGTTCAAGTGATTCTCCTGCCTCAGCCTCCCGAGTAGCTGGGACTACAGGTGCATGTCACCACGCCCAGCTAATTTTTGTATTTTTAGTAAAGACCAGGTTTCACCATCTTGGCGAGGATGGTCTCAGTCTCCTGACCTCATGATCTGCCCGTTTTGGCCTCCCAGAGTGCTGGGATTATAGGTGTGAGCCACCGTGCTCGGCCAGTGGATTGTGAAGGAGGTGTTAAATGTTCCTAACAAGGAGTTGGTTTTAGATGCTTGTAAATAACTTAACATTTAGAACAAAGTGGAGGTGACGGGAGGGTGCTGCCGGGGTTCCTGACAGTGAAGACGGTGGATGCAGGCTCTGTTCTTGTGCAAACCATGAGAAAATGCGGGCATTTCACAGGAGCCAGGGCAGACTGACATTCAGACACCATTGACCTGGTCTGTGTGCAGTTCCACACATGGGCCACAGCTGTAAACCGGCGTGTTCACACCACGGCCCTCAATCACGTTGCACAGCCCCGCTGTAAACCAGCGTGTTCACACCACGGCCCTCAATCATGTCACACGGTCCCACTGTGAACCTGCATTTCACACACCCCACGGCCCTCAATCACATCACACGGCCTCACTGTAAACCAGCCCATTCACGCATCCCACGGCCCTCAATCATGTCACATGGCCCCGCTGTGAACCCGCGTGTTCATACCACGGCCCTCAATCATGTCACACGGTCCCACTGTGAACCTGCATTTCACACACCCCACGGCCCTCAATCACGTCACACGGCCCTGCTGTAAACCGGCGTGTTCACACCATGGCCTGAATCACGTCACACAGGCCCTGCCACTGTCTTCAAGGGTGCTTGGCCAGTGAACGGCGTGTGCAGGCTGTGTTCTTTCATGCAGAGTTACCAAACACACCGAGCTGGCTGCATGGCTGCCTGTGCCATCCAGGCTGGGAGGTGCAGCTAGGAAGGGGCTCCTCCCTCCTCTCCTGGGCATGGAGGCTCCTTAAGGCCGACTCATTCCTCACTCCCGCCGCAAACCTTCCCTCACATTCCCGTGGGCTCCTGAATCTCCCTACACAAAATCATAGTTGGCATTTTTCCCAGTGCAGTAGCTATCCAAATTATTTTTACCTCAATTGAGTTAAATGCTGCTGCAGCTTTTATGGCCCGAAGTAGAAAATGCAATCACGTCAGAAGGTGCCCTGGAAATGGTAAAGAATAATAAAAGAGGTCCTGGCTGAAAACAGGTTATGTATAGCAAGAGCAGCGGCGTGAATGGTCCCGAAAATGTGGCTAAGAGGATGGGACCACGGTTCAACATTCCTGACACCCCTGGGGATGGCGCTGCATCTGGGGCCCAGCCCGAGCAGAGTCTCAGCTCTCCGAGCCTGGCTGTGATCCTGCGCTGCTGACTCTGGCCCAGGACCGGATACACAGACCGGCTAATCAATAACCCCAGGACAGCAGGGCTCCTGCCTGCCACGGGGGAGTTGGACAGCAGCGGACCTCTGTAAAAGCTCAGAGGGAAGCAGGGGTAAGCCCAGGGCAGTGAAGGGCTGAGGTGGGGGCTAAGAAGAGGCAGGCAAGAGGCAGGCAGAGGGAGGGAGGAAGAGAGAGAGATGTCGTCGAGGAGCAATCCAGGGAGGAGAGCGGGCCTGGAGCTGGGAGCGAGGCTGGACAGTCACCAGGTGTGGGCTGCGGCCCATCCCATAGCTCTCAGTTGCAGCTGGGACAGGGGACCAGCCACCGCAGACTTTGAAGAGTGAAATAATCAAAGGCCACTGGGTGAGGACAAGCAAAGGCAGGGAGAGACGCTCGCCACAGGGAAGCCTCACAGTGAGCACACAGAGCCCCAGGTGCGCCCTGCTGGAGGCCAGGCCCTGGGGACCCCCGAGCTGTAATGAGAGGCGGGCGTCCTGGGGGCATAGCTGCATCCTCTAGCTGGTTCTGAATTTGAAGAGGGACAAAATTTAGGAAGCTGTCAGGACGGGTCAGGTGGTGGCTCTCTGAGACTGATGACCACAGAAGTTACTGTTGAGCCCCCTGCACTGAGTGAAGATGCCAATCTGGCTTCCTGCAAGCTGGATGAGGGCTCTGCCTCCTGGGCTGTGTGCTGTCGATAAGCATCTGGCCTCCCCGGCAGGGGTGGGTCAGAGTTCTGTTTTTATACCTGATCCAGGCTTTGACACTGTGTGTTCAGTCCTCAGAAGCAGAGGCATGGGGGAGAATGTAATTATATTGGTGTTTTAGAAAGACCCATTCTCCGGGAGGCTGAAGTTCCAGAGAAGGGGCCCGACCCAGGGCCTGGCCACAGGGACTCTGGGAGGAAGCGGGGAGGCCCATGCAGGTGCTGCCGGCGCAGACACAGAGCTCAGGGCTGCTTGGCCTTGGAGGCCCTGGCCACTGACAGCCGTCGCAGGTGACAGCAACACAGGAAAGTCTTCAAGAAAACCGAGACGTTTCCACGTTTCTTCATCCCCAGGAGGAAATGGGAGGGCTCACTGAAGTCAGAATCTCTTTATAGAAATAATGCTCTAGTCAGTCTTTTAACATCTATTTTTGAATTTTCAATTGCACTTTATTTCTACGTTTCCTTCAGCTGCAGTCTCCCTACCAAGCGCAGAGCACACAGTAGGACAGAACAGCGGACCCTTGGCTGTGGTGCGCCCCACTAAAGCATCCTTCTCCTGAAGAATCACTCTCCTCCATCGCCTTCCCGCACCCAGCCTGAGGACTTATTCTGGAATTTCAAATGTTTGTTCCTGCCATGGATTTTCTGTCCTGGGTGACAGCACGTGTCTGGTTCCGGGACAGTGAAGCAGGCACAGGCCTCTCCATGTCAGTGCTGGAGAGACAGCGTTTCCTTCCTCCTGACCCAGATCCCTCCTGGAGGGACGCTCCCTGGGCTGACTGCGAGGACACAGCCAGTTCCCCGCGTGTTGCCGAGCCCAGCCCCAGCCGCCGCACCTGTCCCCATGCTGGTCTGCAGCAGCAGTGAGGGGGACCCCGTGGTGTGAGGGCTGCGCTGGCCACCACTCAGGAAAAGGCAAGACATCCTCTGCAGTCCCTGAAGGCCCTCAGTGTCTCCAGCGCATCTGCCTTAGGACAGCTCTTCACAGGGGACTCTGAGGTCTGCCTGGAAGATGCTCTCCCAGCCCGCCGGGTCCTGCAGACAAAGCGTGTGGTGTCCCCTGGCCCCAGAATGAGTCTCTGTGACCCTGGGCGTGCCTGTACAAACAGTCACACGGGCCCTCCTTCACGGTGCCTGGTGTGCCTCGCTGCTTTTCGCTTCCTTACCTGGCCTCTGCTGTCAGTCCTGAGGTGGGCTGCTGCTCTCAGGACCTCCTGCAATGACAGGTTCGTGTTGGGTGTAGAAAGAAGCTATTGTAGACCTGTCTGGTGATGGAGGCTTCAGCGAGGCATGTGGCCCAGGAGCACATGGTGGCAGCATGTGGGAGGAGCTGGGCAGTGGGTGGGAGCTGGCATGGGGAGCATGGTGGCAGCATACTGAAGGAGCCGGGCAGTGGGTGGGAGCTGGCATGGGGAGCATGGTGGCAGCATGTGGGAGGAGCTGGGCAGTGGGTGGGAGCTGGCATGGGGAGCATGGTGGTGGCATGTGGGAGGAGCTGGGCAGTGGGTGGGAGCTGGCGTGTGGGGACTCGGTTGGCTAGGAATTTGCGCATAGAAGTCTGTGCTTGGCGTGAGCAGCCTGTGTGGTCCGCCGGCTCTAAACCACGCCTCTTTTTGTCCAGACCTGGCCAGGATCTGTGAGTCCTCGGAAGACATTTTACCTCGCTCAGAGTCACAAAAATCAAACAATGACAAATACAGTTCCTGGAGCAGAATACCATTTACATTTTACTTATATTCACTTATCACTGTCAAATATCCTTTTTATTTTGCCAAATTTCAAACTGTTAGAAACAGTGGAGG